CTTCTCTCAACCCCGTCACCTGCTAGCAGGTCTCCCTGCTAAGTGCCGTGGTGTGTGAGATCCAACGATGAACGCTAAAGGCGGACCTACCCAGAGAGGTTGTGTACGTTAGTGTGAAGAGATCTTAATTTAAACCCCAACTGTGCTTCACGTGGCTGTATTCCAAAGAGGTAAATCATTATTGAAATAAAGAGGGTGTAACTGTCCATAAAGCCATAGGAGTAAATAAATCGATTGAAAAGTTTTCTGCGTTGCTGGGCTGCACTGAGCTTTAGTGTAGCACTTAGCCCCTCCCTTAGTTCATCCCGTGTGCACGCGGAGGCCAGGACAATGCACCTGTCTCCCCCGTGGGTTCCAAGAAATGGTTCAGGTGTGGCTCCTCAGCAGGTGGGGGCTCTCCAAGCTCTGGGCTGGGCTGGGGAGCTAAATCCCTCTGCTTTCTGCCTTAGGAACAGGAATAACGTAACCATTCGTTACTTTTCTGTTATGCGAATACCATGCTAATCTTGAATTTTTCCCCCTTGGGATAAATTACAAAAGTAGAATTATTGGGTTAAAAGGTATCAAAGAGATCTTTCTAAAACTGGCCATGTTCCACCTTGTATTAGTCTGGGTTCTCCAGAGGAACCAAAGGAGAGATAGGTGATGGATAGACAGATTTATTATAAGGAATTAGCTCACATAATTATGAAGGCTGAGAAGTCCCAAGATCTGCTGAGTGCAAGATTATTGGAGAACCAATGGTGTAAATTCCAATGCAAATGCGGAAGATAGGCAGAGAGAATATTCTCCCTTCCTCCATCTTTTGTTCTCTTCAGGCCTCCAACTGATGGGATGAGGCCCACCCACATCGGGGACGGCAATCTACGTTACTCAGTCTACTGACTCAAATGGAAATCTCATCCAGAAACACCCTCACAGACACACTCGGAATAATGTTTGCCCAAATATCTGGGCAGCCTATGGCTTTGTCGAATTGACACATCAGATTAACCATGACATCCCTCCTTAAAATTCTTCAGTGCCTGCCCCCCTGCCCTGTTCCCAGAGCCTGTGGTATAAACCTCAATCTCCTTGGTCTGCCCTATGAGGTCTTTCACTGTCTGGCCTCTGCTGGTCTTTCCTGCCATTGCTCTCCACCCCAGACATTCTGGATTTCGGCAGCCTCCCTTTGCTGAACTGTTGTTCTCTAAGCTCGTCCCCTTGGCAAAGGCCCAGTGGTCAATAGTGAGCGTTCTAGCTCATGCCTCAGGCCTCTTCATCTCCAGTGAATCTTCCCACCTCTCTGGTCCTGCCTGGAGGCCCAGGGTCGGACGCCAGAGGATGATGGTGTCAGGCACCCTACTCAGCCATGGGCAAGGGCAGAGTTTTGCTCAGACGTATGTTTGCATGGGTTTCCAGGTCTCCCTATTGGATCTGTCTCCTGGCCCAGGACCCCAGGACTCAGGGAGGAGTCCTGGAGAGTGGAAATGGGGCCGTTTTCAGTGAAGATGCAAGGCTGCAGGACAGGAATCTCAGAGCATGCATGTTGGTGATACGGGGTGGCATGATGGGGGTGAGGCTTGCTGTCTTCTGCCACCAGGGACGAGGCACGGCTTCCCCCGGCAGGGCCCGCGGAGGGTAGCTGGAGGCAGCAGGAGGTTTTGTCTTGAGTATGTTTGAGACCCCGCAGGGCAGTCCTGAAACACCAGGGCCACCAGGGGGCACAGCCCTTCGGCAAAAAGCAGGGGCAGGAGTGGAGGAAAGATGCGTGTCACCGTGTCTGTGTTTGCTGCAAAACCAGGAGGCCAGCTGGAGTCCCCTTGTCCCCCTGGCTTCTCCACACCCTCAGGAGCAGAGCTCCGGGGGCTGGTGGATTCTGGTAGGCGCAGGCGTCATCCCCGTAAGCCCAGTGTCCTTGGCCAGTGGCTTTGCCTTTCTGAGTCTCTTGTTTTGTCACTCGCCAAATGGGACGGCGACATGGGGTTTGTGAGGCTGCATGTAAAGCTCCAGGCTTGGGGCTCGGCACGTGTGACAGAGTTTCAGGGTACAAAGGAGCTTCTAGCCGAAGCACTCCCTGACTACAGTTCTGGGCTGAGTTACTCGGCTTCTTGCTCCCTTGGCGCCCCAATGGGTGGGTGAAGGTTAGAGCCTGGGGCATTGCTTGGGGGGTGCCCATTCCTCAGATGCCACATCTGAGCTCTGCAGCACTGGGGGATGCAGTGGGCCGAGGTCTGATGACCGCCTAAGAGGTCCGAGGCACCAGGGGCCATGCCGGTGGCCATCTGTCCCTGAGTTGTTAGGGAAGGGGGGTGTTGTCTATCATTTCATCTTCTGGGACAGTTTTGGCCACACCTTTGAGAACCTCCCCTGGGGTCCTCGGGGTCCTACCCTGGAGGACTGCCAGCTGAGATAACCAGGCTTCTGCGGAGGCCTGGATGTGGCTAGGTTCCTGGGAAAAATCTCGGGTCGTGATGGAGACGCCCTCACCTCAGGAACTGTGGGGGGCTGGGGATGGTGGGGGTGAGTCTCCAATGATACAGCCACGTGGGGTTTCGGCAGACCCATGCATCAGCCACGGGAGAATGGATTGATTCGGAATCCCAGCCAGGCCCAGCGGCCTCTGAAGCAAATCCTGGTCTGGGATGTCTTCTTGTCCCCCCTCCCCGCCCCACTTTTCCCTCTCCGGAGGGCTTGGAGAAAAAGCACGAGAAGAGACCACAGCCAGGCCCTCTCCTTGGCCTCCTGGGCAACAGTGGGGTTGCTGGCTGCCCTGGAGCCCCAAGGCCCCGATGCCCGCCTCATGGCTGAGCTGGGTTGTGTGTCAGGGGCCCATGTCGCCTGGCCCCGGGCCGAGCCTCCCGGGCATCAGCCTTGGGCACCACCTAGGCTGCTGACCGTCCCCCACAGCTGTAGGCCCCATCCCTCAGAGCCCCTGCAGGTCCTCGAACCCAGCTGCAAGGACTGAGGTCAGGTCGGCAGGAGGACAAAGGGGCCTCTGCAGGGAAGGGCCATGCGTGCTGGATGTGGCCGTCTGCAGGGCGCCGTTCCTGTCAGGGCTCTGAGGCTGCACCTGGCCAAGGGACACCGCGATCCTTGCCTGGGGGGCCACCAGGCAGGTGTCCGAGAGAAGGCCCTCCTCTGGGCTGCACTGGGGCCTCGACCTAGCAACTGCTCAGAGAAGCAGAGAGCAGGTTCAAGGGCCCCCCGGGTGTACTGGAGACACAAACACACTCAGCCGGAGCCCCTTCGGGCCCTGCCTTTTCTGTGGGGCTCATCACTGGCTGCCTCCCTCTCACCTGCCCAGTGGGGGAGTGAGTCCCAGCCTCCCCCTGCCATCCTCCCCACCCTCATTCTGCACTGAGCCACTGAGGGGCGGGAGAGAGCGGGCATGGAGATGATGGGGGTGGGCTGCACTTGTGACTGGATTGACAAGGTGGGGAACAGCATGCCAGGCAGTGGGAACAGCATGTACAAGGTCACAGAAGCAGGAAACAAGGAACAGTGTTTCTTTTGCCTTGGGGCCCCAAGCCTGGGGGCGGTAGGGCCCGCAGCACCCTCTGTGGGCGCCGACAAGCTTGATTTGCCACTGGAGCTGCGACTGAGGGTGCTGTTCTGCTCTCTCCAATATGCTTTCCTCACGTTCCCCACAGCCTGGGGGGAGGTTGCTGCCATCTCTGAGTGGGAGGGAGCAGGGACTGAGGTGGGCCTTGGCTATAGGGAGGCATGGCTCGGGGGGGGGGGCATGTGGGGGCTTGGCTTTGGAGAATGAGCTGGTACCCTGGGCCTGGGTGAGGGATTGTAGGGGGCAGGGGAGTCACCGTGGCCTGCTGCCCCCCAGGCCCCTCCCAAAGCTTAGCACTCTGGGGTTTCCTCACGGGTCCTGGGGTTTCCTGCACCAAGTTGCTTGGGAATCGGGAGATGGACATGGAGCCCAGTGAGCGGCAAAGCTGGGCCCTTGGGGGTGAGTGGAGAGCTTGCTCCGGAGTGTCCGGTCTCCCTGGGGCTGGGGTAGGAGACAGCATCCTCTGGTGGACACTGGACTCTGAGCAGGCCTCCCTGAGCTCCAGCGGCATCGGCCCCGGACCGGCCGTCATGTGTCTCCAAGGCCGCGGACCCCTGTGACCTTACTCCCCACCTTGGACAGGCCGTACTCAGGGTGACCAGGAGGTGGCGACAGTGCCTGCTGCTGTCTGCAGAGGGTCCTGTCTAATGTTGCCCAAGGGATGCCAGGGAGCGAGGGATGCAATGAGGAGGGGCTTCCAGGCATCTGGTGGGGCCCCAGCAGGAGCTGGGTGTGGCGTCGGGCAGGGCGGGAGCCTGAGGCTGGCTGGAGCCCAGTCCCTACTCCCCCGCTCTGGGGTCTCAGATGCAAAGGGGGTGGGCTGGTCTGGGCAAAGAACGTTCTCATGCCTTCCGGGGCCTTGCCGAGCAGAATTCCCCGAGTCTGAGGAGGCACCAGGATGTGTTGGCTGCTCTGTCTTTGCCTATTGCTCGGAGGGGACCCAAGTCCATGCCACCAGGACAGCCACGTCTGGCACTGAGGGGGGCCCAGGCGCTGGCCAGCGTGGGTCAGTGCACCCCAACACACACCCCCCACTCTGCCCAGCAGGCCCTGACCGGGAGAGGGGGGGCACATCGTACTCCCTGCCTTCCTGGCTGGGGGACCTGGTCACGTGCCAGGTGGGGGTTCAGCAGCTCCATGGCCCGTCTCCTCCCTGGCATAGAAACTTGACTCCGTGTGGGAGGGTCTGGGGGTGGGGGGAGTCCAAGGGGGACCCACCGTGGGGCTCCTCAACCCCACCGCACCCCAAGAATAGAGGTGTCTGGCCACATGCAGGGCTGTGGGTGTCCATGTGCCGGGCCCTGTCAGCCCAACGTGGGTCTACGGAGTGGAAATGGCCACCATGGCCCTCTCTGGACCCGAGGCCACAGCGTCCCCAGGCCTGAGCTGGGACACTGCCCTGCGTCCCAACAGAAGTGCCTCCCAGGCCCACGAGTGAGCGGCGTGTGGACGTGGCTACGCAGGGCGTACGGACGTGTTTATACCAACCTAAAGTTTACAGTGTACTGTACATGTTGTCATTCTCACGACTCAGGTTTGTCCCGTGACCTGTGTCAGTCACAGCTGTCACCAGAGAGCTGTCCCCTGGTACCAGCAGGATCCAGAAAGGGGTGAACTGGGCCGCAGAAACCAGCCCATCCCGGGGTCGGGGGGGCAGGGTAGGGCCCGTCAGCAGAACGACAGGGGCTGCTGGTGGTGCCTGCTGGAGATGTGGGGGTTCCCAGGCCACCTAGGCACAGACGGGGTGTCAGCCTCGGTGCTGCTCATCACCCAGGGACAGTGACACCACAGTCACCCAACGCTCTGGGGGCGGTGCCACGTCCTTGCTGAGGATGGACCGACCGGCCAGCAACGTGACCCCCACCGTCCTGAAGGCAGAGCCCCTGAGCCACGTGCTACCCGCAGGTCAGGAGGTCCTGGGCCCTTCCCCGGAGCTGAAGTTCCACAGAAGGTGGAGAAAGGTCTCCCGGGCCGTGTGGTCGCTGGGGCTGGCGCCAGGCCGTGGGGTCACGGTTTGCAAAGCAGTGAGGTGGCAACACCTCTTATTTTCTGCTGGGCCAGCTAAGGCAGGGCTGTGGAAGGCTTCTGCTGACTTCCTCCCCTCCTCCTCCTCCTCCTTCTCCTCCTCCTCCTCCTCCTCCTCCTTGAGCTTCTCACGTCTTCCCCAGAATAGAAGATCTGCAGATTTAAACATGTTCGGGGTGGTGATTAGACTTCCCTCCGGCGCGTCACCTGCTAGGCAGGCGACTCCCGCCCCAGAGAGGCTCTGTACAACCGTCCTGGCTCAGTTGTCAGAGCCCGCTGCTGTGGGTCCACGAACCTCCACTTGGCTGCATTTGGAGGCTGAACAAGCAGGAGGGGCTGCCTCACTTTCTGGCATAAGAATATGGACCGGGGGTGGGGGGGCGGTCCTGGACCTGGACACACATCTTGACAGCCCACAGGGGCAGCCTCCAGCCATGGATATTGGGGGACGGTTTGCAATCCCAGCCTCCCTCCCATCCCAGCACTTGAGTTCTGCCCCCCACCCCTAAGAGCCTGGCCTGACCTGCCCCCTCCCCGTGGACCTGGGTATCCACAAAGCCCCTGGACCCTGGCCTGGCCCCAAGTACCCACATCTCTCCCCCCGCCAGGCTGTCCCCATCCCTGTCTTGGCTCACAGACTCACCTTAGAGATTTCCACCTCTCTTTTTCTGTTTGGTTCTCTGGGCTCTCACTTTCATAAGAAGCCAAATAAAGACCTAGTCAGGAAGCGAGGTGAAATTACACAGTTATGGTTGGTGATAATAACCTGCTCTACACCCAGAGTCTGACCTGCTTTTGGTTCCTAAATTAAATTAGCTGCAAGGGAATTTGTAGACTCCCATGCAGTCATATGAACCGATTAATACAGACAGGTCAGTGTACCCTTTCCCTAGTTTCTCCCCATGGGAACCACTTGCAAAATTATAGCACAGGACCACCAGCGGGATGATGACATCGACACCATCGGGACACAGAACATCCTCATTATGACCAGGATCCCTCATGCTGCCCTCGTGAGGACCACCCACTTCCCTCCATCCCACCCCCTTCTTAGCCCCTGGCCACCACTAATAGGTTCTCCATGTCCAGAATCTGTCATTCTGTAAATGTGATATAAATTGGATCAGTACATAACATTTGGGGTGGGTTCTCTTCACTGGGAGTAATTCTCCGGAGTTCATCAAAGCTGGAGTGTGTATCCATCCTTCACTCCTTTTTCTTGCTGTAGAGTATTCCATAGCATGGATATACCACAGTGTGTCTTTAGCCACTCACCCACTGGAGGGCATCTGCCTTGTTTCCAGTGTCTGACTAGAACAAATCAAGCTGCTATAAACGTTGGAGTGCGGGTGTTCATGCGAACATGAGGATTTGTTTCTCTGGGACAAATAAATGCCCAAGAGCACAATTGCTGAGTCAGATGGTAGTTGCATATTTAGTTTTATGAGAAACTCTAACTAGTTCTACATCCTGAAGATGTGCTGTTGTTTTTATTCTTCCTGAAAGTTGTATAGTTTTACAATTTGCATTCGGGTCTGTGATTCATTTGGAGTTAATTTTTTTGTAGAAGGTATAAGGTTGAGGTCGAGGCTCACTTTTTGGCTTATGGATGTTCAAATGCACCATCAGTGTTTTGGCAAGTTCTATCTTTCCTCTGCTGTATTGCTTTTTCTCTGTTGTCAATCATTGGGCATATCTGCATGGGTCTATTCTTGGGCTCTTTATTCTGTCCCGTTGATCCATGTATCTATCTCACAAATACTACATGGCCTTGAGGACCATAGCTGTATTATATCAGCTTCACTATTGGGTAGAGTGATCCCTCTCCTTTTATTCTTCTTTTTCAAAATTGTTTCAGCTCTTCTAGTTCCTTTGTCTTTTCATATACATTTTAGATCAATTGTGCCTTTATCTGCAAAAAAAAAAAAAAAAAAAAAAAATCCTGTTGGGATTTTGATAGGAATTGCATTAAACCTGTACTTAAATTTGGGGAGGAGAATTAGTATCTTTGCTATGTGAGCCTTCCCATTCATGAACATCCTGTCTCTCCATTTATTTAGATCTTCCTTGATTTCTGTCATCAACAGTTTTTGGCATACAAACCTTGAACATATTTTGTTAGATTTACACCTAAGTATTTCATGTTTCTGAGTGACTATATTGAGTGATGGGATTGTATTTTTAATTTCAGTGTCCACATATTCATTGTTAGCACATAGAAATATAATAGATTTTTGCATCTTTATCTTGTATTTTTCAACTTGTGCTTAATCACTTAATTCTAGGAGTTTTGCAGATTCTTTGAGACTTTTTACATTTTCTGCAAATAGGGACACTGTTAAGTCTTCCTTTCTGATCTGTATTTTCTTTTCTTGCCTTATTGCATGGACTAGATCTCCATTACTATCTTGAATAAAAATGGTGAGAGTAGATATTCTTGCCTTGTTATTGATCTTAGTGAGAAAGCATTCAGTCTTTCACCATTAAACATTAGTGGAAAAGTTTTTGTAGATGCAATTTATCAAGTTGATAAATTCCCCTCTATTCTTATTTTTCTGAGAGTTTTTCCCATGCCTGCGTGTTGAAATTTGTCAAATGCTTTTCCTATATCAATTGATATAATCAAGTGATTTTCTCCTTTAGCTTGTTAATATGGTAGATCACACTGATTGATTTTCAATATTGAACAGCCTTGTATCTCTGGAATAAACTCATTTGGTAATGGTATGTAATTATTTTTTAGTATTGCCAAATTCTATTTGCTAAATTTTGTTAAGAAATTTTTGCATCTATATTCACAAGGGATCTTGGTCTTCACTCTCTTTTTCTTTACTGTCCTTGTCTGGTTTTGGTATCAGGGCAATACTGGCTTCATAAAATGAATTGGGAAGTCCTCTCCTCTTCTATTTTTTGAAAAAGATTGTGCAGGATCAGTATTAAGTCTTCCTCAAATGTTTAATAGAATTCTCTAGTGTAACCATCTGAAGTCAGACATTTCCTTAATGGTCATAGGGCTATTCAACTGATCTACTTTGTGTTGAGTTTGTGGTAGTTTGTGTTTTTTAAGGAATTGGTCCATTCCATCCAACATGTCAAATTAATGTGTGTAGAGTTGTTCATAGTATTTCCTAACTAGCTCTTCAACGTTGGCAGAGTCTGTAGTGATATTCTCCATTTCAGTCTTGATATTAGCAATTTCTGTCTTCTATTTTTTCTTTGTCAAGAGGTTCTTTGCTGGAGGATGGTAATGTTACAGTTCTTTTCAAAGAACCAGCTTCCTGTGAGCTACCTGAACAGTGTTTAGAATTCCATTTTGATTTATCTGTAGTAAATTCCTGAGGGATATTTTAACTGGATATGGAATTCTGGGTTGGCAGTTATTTTCTTGAAGCACTTGAAAACTATGCCACTGCCTCTGGCCATCATAGTTTCTGATGAGAAATCTAATGTCATCCAGATCATTTTGCCCCTGTAGGTAAAGTGTCATTTTTCTCTCAGGGCTTTTAAAATTTGTTTCTTTTTCTTTGGTTTTCAGAAATTTGACTATGATGTATCTTGGTGTGGGTTTCTTTTGATTTATTCTCTTTGGGATTCACTCAGCTTCTTGAATCTCTAGGTTTATACCTTTTCCAAATCTGGGGACTTTCCAGCCATTACTTCTTGGATGATTTTTTTCAACCCTGCCTGTTTTGTCCCCTTCCTTTCCAGACTCTGATGACAAGAATGTTAGATCTTTTGTTGTAGTCCCACAGGTCCCTGAGGCTCTGTTGTTCAGATCGTATAATTTCTATTGTTCTGTCTTCTAGCTCATCAGTTCTTTCCTTTGTCCTCTCCATTCTGCTTTTGAGCCCATCCACTCAGTTTTTTATTTCAGTTATTGTATTTTTCAGTTCTATAATTTCCATTTGGTTCTTCCTTATATCTTCTGTTTCTTTGTTCATACTTTCTATATTATCATTTATTTCAGGGAGCCTCAAGGTTGACCTGATTGCTAGGTGGGTCCTGCCAGGGGGAACCTGGAGCTGAGGGCAGGACAGGATTTCTGTCAGGGACTGTGACTGACCCAGTTGGGGCTCAACCCAGCTTAGGTCCCTTCTCTTGCTTTCTCCACTTTTTTCAGGGGACGGGGAGGGAGAGGAGGAAGGAAGGTCACTGGAAGGTGCTGGTCAGAAAGGCCAGGGTTTCATTTGTATGTTCATAGCCAAATCACCACTTTGCACATAATAGGCTCTCTAGAGATACTGTTGGCTAAAGGAGGGAATGAAATGCCCTTCTCTCACCCCTCTCCCTGCCCCAGGCCCCCCACCCCTCTCCTAATATGCGTTTGACATATTTTATTGCCCAACCTCTATTGGCTAATTGTTATTAGCAATCATCTCAGTAACTAGTGTTGTAGGCTGGATAATGGTCCCCAGAGATATCCAGATCCTGATCCCTGGGACCTGTGAATATTTACCTTCCATGGCCGAAAGGGCCTCTGCAGATGGGATTAAGTTAAGGATTCGGAAATGGAGGGATTCTCCTGGATTATCCAGCAGGACCCTAAATGCCACTGCAAGTGTCCTTCTAAGAGGGAGACAGAGGGAGACTTGACCACAGGAGAGGGAAGATGATGTGATGGTGGAAGCAGAGGTTGGAATGATGTGATTTGAAGGTGCAGGAAGGGTGACTAGCCAAGGAATATGGGTGGCCATAAATACAAGTCATAACAGGCCGGGAAACAACCCTCCCCTCAGAGCCTCCCAAAATAACCAGGTCTGCTGACACCTTGATTTCAGCCCAGTGCAACTGATTTTGGACCATAACCTCCATAAGGGAAAGAGGATAAATTAGAGTTGTTTTGAGTCACCATGTTTGTGGTGATTTGTTACAGGCCCAGTAGGAAACTAACACAAACTAGTATCAATGGAGGGCTGTCCTATGGGCTTTGCCTGTGCCAACTCAAGTAATTCTCACTGTGGCCTCCGAAGTAGCTTCTCTCATTACCCCACTTTATAGATGCAGCAGGTGAGGCTTAGAGAGGGTGAGGCACCTGCCCAGGGTCACACAGCTTGCTGGGGTGGGAGCAGCTCAGGCTGGTTTATCCATCATGCTGCTGGGCTTCCAGTTACAGGCGAGACCCCTCCAAAAAGTTACTCGCTCCAAAACATAAGAAAAAAAATCGCAAACTTGAAAGTATTAACACTTAAAAGCAAAATCATCAAAATAATCCTTCCCCTAAGTTTTTGTTTTTGGCAGAAAATGTTCTCCTGAGCATGAGTGGGGAATCCCTTCATAAGATGCTTGCTGTGAAGAGGAGCCAGGCCTCCTTTGTGCTGAGCAGGGGCCTCTCAGGGTGGGTTGAGGGTCTTGGATCCAGGAAGCAGCTAACCATGGGGCCACACCACCTCCACTGGGATGATCAACTCGGGCCCAGATGACCACTTGCTTCCAGCACTTTCTCTTCCTGAAGGAGGGGACTCCTGGAGTAAGCTTGCTTTGCAAATTCATAAGCAAATTTGTCATATTTAATAAATGATCAGATGGGAATGCTGATTTACTGGAGGGGACAGACATGAACGGCACTCTGGAGAAAAGATGCCTCATATCATTATATGTGTGTGTACACACACACACACACACACACACACACATACTCAGCTGTGGAAAGCTTCACAGTGAGCCAGGGCTCCACCTTCCTTGTGTAAGCCCTGGGAGGGGAGTTCTTATCATTACGCCAACTTTACCAATGGGGGAGAATGGGTCAGATAGATGGTTTAGATTTATGATGCCCAACAGCATCCATGCTGTGTCCAAGGGGAAGCCTGGCCCTGGGGACCCTTGAGGTCCCAACCTGCAGCTCCTTGGGCCCTGTCTTGTACTCTGGGGGTGGCAACCATCCAGCCGGGGGACGCAGCCTTCTCTGCTCCCTCTCAGATCCAGAAAACATGGGCATGGTGCATCCTGCTCAGAGCAGGGGCCCCAAATGGAGATACGACTAAGAGACCACCCGAGAGTCCCAGATCTGGGGGTGACAGAAACCATGGGACCACCTTACCATCCTCGCTGAAGATGGGAGCGGTGTGCAGGTAGTGGGTGATGCTGGGGTCTTGCTCAAAGGGACACTCCACTTGTTTCCATGTGATGAACTCTCCAACCTGTTTGGCCAGCTCCAGGAATTTCTGCCAGGGTCAGAGAGACACAAAATGGGAGCGCCCCAGTGCCTGGAGGTCACCTGTAAGAGTGGGCCAGCCCCACTCATCTCTCCTAGGGAGGCCCACCTCTGGGGAGGGCAGGGCGAAGCACCAGGCAGTAAATGACAGAATCCCCCATCGGGAATGCTGGGTGTTTGCTGTATCTCTTCATTCCCTCTGAGGAATCTGCGGAGAGAGCATCTAGGGCTCATCAGCAGCAGACAGTGCATTCAGCTAGACGTAAATATTACTCTAGTTTCCTTCTATTAATTTTTGTGATTATCCTTACAAGTTTGTTTATTTAGAGAATGATGCAAATAAATGTACATAAATGTATTTAAGGAAGATTAAAGTAAATCCATTTAAGTAGAATTTTATTTAAGTAAACTTTAAGTAAATTTATTTAAATTAAAAAAAATGGTGCTAACTTGAAGGATTTTAAATAAATAGCAGCACCAAGTCATGCCTGGGTGGGAACTATCCTCTGTGGCATCCTTTGATCAGTCCTGGTGGCCGGCTCCAGCCCCCACTGCCTGGGCCCCAAATCTGGGGCCACACGAGCACCTTGCAGTCTTGCCTTTCATCGCTTGATCCCTCGGCCTCGGTTCTGAGGACCAGTTCAAGAAGGGCCCAGTACAGGGCTTTCCACACCTGGTACGTGTAGGCTCCTGGACAGTGCGATCCCCGGCCCCCGGGCCCCTGCAGTCTCACCCAAGCCCAGCCTCCTCCATGTCACCTCCAGCCCAGACCGCCCCAGGCATGCAACGGCCAGGCTGCTCAGGGGTACCAGGCCTGCCTGTGGCACGTGAAGCTCTGCTGGGGGGTCTGTGTCTGTGTCTGACCCCACAGCACACGCAGCTCCAGGCCAAAGGGCTCAGGTGTTGGGTGGGGGCCCCCCGGCCGGGGACACCTGCAGGGCAGCTGTGGTTGAAGCCCCGCTTTACAGAGGGAGCGACCGAGGCCCAGAGAGAGCAAGGGGCCAGCCCAGACTGACTGCCCCATGGTGTCGGAGGCTGGGTGGAGCCGGCACTAGGGTGCACCAGCCCTCCCCAGGGAGAAGAGACTCGTCCTTCCTGCAGACTGGGGGATGCCACCGCTGCACGGCATGCTTTGTCTGACTCAGTGACCGCTTGCTCTCACCGCCCAGGGCTCTCAGGGCTCCTGGGCCTTGGCCCCACCATGCCTAGCCCATGGGCCACTCCAAGACATGTGTGCCAGGTCGTCCCATGTGGGAGGTCAGCCTGACTTTGTTTCTAAGGAGCTGTGAGGGAGGAAGGCACAGCCCACTGAGCACAGGCCAACCTCTGTCTGGGTGGTCAAAGGGGGCTTCCTGGAGGAGGGGACACTCGAGCTGATGGCAGTGAGTGTCTTCAGAGGGAGTAGAAATCTTTCTTTACCTCTCCCCACCTCTTCGGGGGCTCAGGGGCCCTCCTTTGGGAGGCCTCCCCTGGCCCATGCCCTGTGCCCCATCCTAGCACCTCGCCCGTTGTCACTGTGGGTCTGTGGGGCTTTCTCCTAGCCTGGTGCTCTTCAAGGGCTGAAAATGAGTCTGCCTCACCGGTGGGTGGATCAATGAGCCTCATTCTCCTCCTGTGGAAGGGGTGGGGTGGGGGGACCCTGATAATTCCGCCCCGATGTCTTGTAAACTGCAGCACTCTGCCTCGAGTCCCTGGACTAATGAGTCCAGCGCCCCTGTCCTGGGGGCTTTGACAGTCCGAGGCCCTCGGATCTTACCTCAAAGTTGACGTGTCCATTGGGGAGGCGGTTGGCGCAGCCCTCGTTCAGGAAGTAGATGTCTTTGATGAGCAGGCTGAAGAAGGGAATGACGATCTGGAAGGGAGAAGGCGCTGGTCAGCCCTCAGTCAGCAATGGCCAGACTGTTTCCTTCCAGGCCCCATCAGACTCCAGTGCCGACTGAGTGCCTACTGCATATGGTGCCATTCCCCCTGTGTTGGGGCTGGATCAAAGACGCAAGGTCCCAATGCCCCTTGAACATTTCTTCCACCGCCCGCTGGGAGAGGGCGTGGCAGTTTGTCCCCACAATCCAGGGATCCACAGACCTAGGCCTTCCTGGTTCAAGTGCTCCAGGAGGAATACAGGTGCATGCTGAGGCTGCCATTAAATACATACGGAATGTGAATCATCTGTTGCACGGTTCTGTGGCCTACTTTTTAAAATATGTACTTAGGGCTTTGTCATTTTATGCCTGATGCTAGAGATCGATACTGTTGCATCCCTGTTCCGGTGCCTGAGGGGTCTCTGTGTGTCACTGCTGGATGCCTTGCTTCTCCCTTTGTGCTCTGCACAAAAGCCAACTGCTGACCCCTAGAGAAGGGACACTGCTGACAGCTCAGACAACCCTCGGGGAGCTGGCTGCTGTGGGTTGAACTGTGGCCCCCCAAAAGATATGTTCGAACCCTAACCCCCAGTGCCTGTGAACAGGACCTTATTTGGAGATAGTCTCTGCAGATGGGACTGAGTTAAGATGAGGTCACACTGGGCGTAATGAGCTCTACTCTAGGGACTGAGGTCCTTGCGGAAAGAGGGCAATTCGGGCATACGCAGCAAAGAGAGCCATGCAAAGATGGGGGCCGAGGTGGGAGGGACTGGCCACTGGCCAAGGAATACCTGGGGCCACCAGAAGCTGGAAGGGGCCAGGAAGGATGCACCCTTTGGAGGGAGCATGGCCCTGACAACCTTGACTTTGGTAGCTGGCCTCCAGAACCGGGAGATAATACATTTCTATTGTTCCAAGCCACCCAGTTGGTGTGTTTTGTACGTCGGCCCCAAGGGACTAATACACCTGCTCTGCCCTCGGGCTCCAGAGCTACGCACTTGCTGCCAAGCCAGCCAGGAGCAGCCTCCAGCCCATCACCTTTGGGACCAGGTGCCAGGCCCTGATGTTTCTGGCTCTCCAACCCCCCCGCCGCCACCGCCCGCCACCCAAATTGACAAGGCCTTTGAAGTGAGGACCTGGGCATGACCACACTGCTCAGTACAGAAGCTCAGTACAGTATGGACGGCTCGGCGGGGCAGGGCGGATGGGAGACTGAGGCCCACAGAGCAGCAGGGCCTGGCCCACGGTCACCCCATGAGTGAACACTGGGGCTGGGACCTGAGTCAGATTAAGCGGGGAGACCAGTTGCCTGGTTCGTCCAGGACTGAGGGGTGGTGGGCCTGAGGGCTTCACTGTGCCAAATATTCCATGCACGGGGATCAGAGTTTCATTCCCAGCAAGTTCTGTGAAGCAGGGCTCTATTACCCCACCTTATGACAAGAAGCCGAGACCCAGAGAGGTTAAGCAACTCACAAAAGCTCACACAGCAGTAAGTACAAGAGGCAGGACTAGGACCCAGGTGGCTTGGCTCCAGAGCCCCTGTCCTGCCGGCTTCCTCACTGTGCCAGGAGGGTGGGTGGTCTCTGTGCATCTCCCCCACCCCCCACCGCTGGTGCTGAGCCCCAGGCCCACAGTCGGTGCATGATGGTTGCACTGGGTTGGAATGGGGAGATGGGCCAAGACAGGGAGGGGATTAAGGGCAGTGGGACTCTGTGGACAGAGACAGCTCCTCAGGGGCCTGGAGCAGGCTTCCTAGACACTGGGCACTGGGGCTGGTCCTCAGGGAGGTAGTGTTTTCCATGTCTGAGAACTTCTCACCATTTCTGCCTGTCCACGTGGGCCCAGGCTACCATCCCATCGGGCTTTAGCATCCTGGCTGGCAGGACTGTAACCCACTGCCCTTGCTTTCTGGAGCTAGCAGTTCCATCTGGGGGTCATCCGAAGAAGCCAGTGTGGAGTGGGCCCCATCACAGAGATGGGAGGAGAGGGGCAGGTGGGAAGAAAGCATAGAATGCCATGACCACTGGAGCCTCTTGGCCTTCAAATTTCAGGTGGGGCAGCCGGGAATTGCGAGAACATCTGCAAGCATCCTTCTTTTCCTTCCTTCCTTCCTTCCATCTTTCTATCCTTCTATCCACCCAACCATCCATCCTCCAGTCTCCCACTCATTGATGAAGCACCTCCTGTGGGCCCAGCTGATGGTCCATATCTCTTTGGAAGTTAGAGGAGAATGCAGTGAAATGAAATGAATGCACAGCTCCGTAAATCACTCACCTCTAGCCCCAGACCTAAATCATGGCATCCCCGCACCCCCGAGCTGGAAGGGCACTCAGCGTGCAGGAACAGGGCAGCCCAGTCTGCCCCACGGCCACCTGGCCAGCACGGATGGAGGAAAAGCCAGTTGTCGCAGTTGACAGCTCAGCCCAAAAGCTGCAGTCAGCTCTGTATACCCCACCCCGCAGTCCCACTCCTGGGCCACAGGTCAGTAGCTCTGTGATTGCTGCCCAGCACCTGCGCTCCGGGAACGGGAGGCAGCCCGGTGGTGTGCCGGAGAGGCTAAGTCTGATTCCTGGCCCTGCTGCCTACTTGCTGTGTGACGGACAGTGAGAGTCCTCTCTGAGACTCCGTCTTCTCATCCGGGAAATGGCCCTGCTAGACTCCATCAGGCGTTATCAGAATTAAACGGGGCTGGGGACAGAGTCAAGTGGCCCTCGGGTAGCAGGTGCTCAATAAGGCCAGGTCGCTGTCCCTGCCACTCTGGCTTTCCAGCTTCCTGGCTTCCGGGGGGACAGGCAAGCCTGCCCTGGATTTTGAGGTCTTGCCTCTCTGAATGCTGCTCCCCGGCGGAACCCACCTCAGGCCCAGAGCTGCCGAGGGGCTCACAGCCCGACCAGGAAAGGCCAGCTGCAGAGCATGCGGCCAGGCTCTGTGTGCAGTCCGCCTGCTGGGCGGGGCATGCAGGGCTGAAGGCCTCCCGGGGAGCACAAGTGTGCCTGTCTTGGTCTGCTCCCCAAGCCGAACTAACCCCTGGTGCCCGTCCTGTCCAATTCCGAGTGACTTTGAATTTCAAGAAAAGCAGCTTGTTCTGCGACCCCGCGGGCTGGAAACAGACCTGCACAAACCATGGCAGAGAACTAATTCCACCAATATCCCTGCCCAGAGACCTGGCGGACAGGGCACGGCAAGCCTCGGTGGTTTCTTCCCATGGAGATGACCACTCTAATTGCCAGGCTGGTGACAGGTCCTAAGTCAGAGGCTCGCTGCAATCCCGAGGTGCAGTTTCTGGTGTGGGAGGCCACCAGGAGAATTTGGGAGACCAATACAATTGATCAGGGTCAGTGAAGGCACCCCCCTCCCCTAACCGCCACCCCCCCCGCCCCGCCGCAAATGTAGAAGAACAGAGCCTGTGAAAAGGCAGTTTTAGTGAGGGAGAAGCTTGGTTCACTCAGCGTCAAAAACGTGGCTGTGATCTGAGGCCCCATCAGTGAAGGTCTTGCATTTGGAGTAAGGTGGTGGAAGACCCTGTGCACTTAGAGACCATTTGATCTGAAACAATTTGATCTGACAAATCAAACCGTTCAGGGACCAAAGAGATCCAAGTGGGGAGGGGACTGGAGCCTGGGCTGTTGACTTTGGAAGCAGGAGGGGGCCTGGGGGGCACTAAAGGAACAGCCTGGGGGGTGGTGGTAGGGAGCTGGGTGGCTCAGGTAATTGAGCGTCTGACTGGATTTTGGCTCAGGGCATGGTCTCAAGGTGGTGCGATCGAGCCCTACATCGGGCTCCGTGCTCAGTGAGGAGTTGGCTTGGGATTCTCTCTCCCTCTGTCCCGCCCCCTGCTTGCGTGCACTCTCTCAATAAATAAATAAATAAATAAAATCTTAAAAAAAAAAAAAGAGGGAGCAGCCTTCCTCTGCACGGCCCTCCAGAGAGCCAGAGAGGACAACCCCAGCCCGATAAGGAAGCATTTCCTACCAGTGGGAGCTGCGTGAGTATGGGCTGATCTGTCCTGTGAGGTGGTGAGTTCCCCATTTTAGAGGCATGCAAGGAGCATGGCTGTCTATACAGATGCTGCAGAAGAGCAGGGGGCTGGACCAGGTGACCTTGGAGTCTGCATCCTGGCTCTCTGCTACAGCCCACCCGGGGCCAAGGTATGGAGTAGGGAGGAGCTCTGAAGGCCAGGCAAGCCTCTGACCTACCTTCTCACGGCTGCTGTGGGCGGTCAGGGAGCGGTGGGCTGCCCCCCGCAGGGCTGTCCTGTAGTTGCAGAAATTCCCTGTTGGGTCCATCTGGTGCTAGAAGGAGACAGGGAGGCATTTGGGCAGCTGCGTCCCAGGGTCAGCCAGGGCCAGCCGGCAGCCCAGCAGCCTTGCTCACCTCGAGGATGAAAAACTTGGCCGTCTTCACTTTGGCCCAAGTCTTCTTCAGCCTAGAGACGGGGCTCATGTTCATGCCAGCTGCAAGAGGAAGGGTCGAGCTGGGCGGGGGGTAGGGGGTGGGGGGGGCATCTCCGGGCCGCACAGTCTGCTTACTCCCTCGGGCAGGAGGCCTGGGGGTGGCTGCCCCTGACCGAGGCTGAGCCCGCTGCAGACAGCTGGATGGTGGATGGGTGGGTGGGTGCTGGTGGACACTGTGTCCCAGGGAGCCTGGCAGCTGTGTGTGCAGGCCCCCGCCCCACTCCCCACCACACTGGCACCACACGGTGACCAGGGTCTGCTTTAGGTCCCCGCGCTCCCTGGATCTAGGGACACACGGCCAAGTCCTCACAAAGCCCCTCTGAGGAGGGTAAGCTTGCCTCAAAGGGGGCACCTCTCCAGGACCTCCGGGCCCAGCAGCACCCGCCCTGCTCTGAGGAGCACCCTGGCTCGGACCCCTCCCGCCATGGGTGCCCATCCAGCCTCTCTGGGGGCGCTCCCAGTGAGGCCTGGGGCCTGCCGGCCTACTCACAGATGATGGCCATCAGAGAGTTGAAGTTGCCAATGTTGAAGCATTCACGGGCCACGTCGATGAAGAACTCCACCACCTGGGCCCTCTGCTTCTTCTTGGCCGGCTGGGGACAGAGCACCTGAGCCTCAGTGGTGACACGTCCCCACCCCATCATGGGGCCAGTCCCTCATCAACATGCTCTCAGCCCCGTTCATGGCCGAGACGCTTGATGCTGGGGCAGTCTGCAGCCTGAGGGCTCAGGGTCTCAGCACGTCCTGGGCAGGCCCAGCAGAGCCCACCGCCCTGGAGGGCTCAGGTGGGGCCTGGCAGGACTTCATGGGGTGGAGGAGCCTCCTGCCGTGTTCAAGACACCAATCCGCCCTCCGGGTCCGGCTCCAGCACCCTCCACAGCTCCCTCGCCTGTCCCCCCGTGCACCACGCTCGATCTCCCCACACTGGGGCCACACACTGACCCAGGCCCTGTCACTGGCGCAGCCCCTCCCTTGCTTTCTGTTGAATGACTGCATGACCTCATCCCCAGCTTATGGCCACGCGCTTGGGACTGTGACTTCTCCGATGGCTCCAAACAAACCAAGCATCCCCTGGGCCGTCCTGGACTGAGGCACTGCCCAGCCCCCGGAAGGGTTCAATCCAGCTTTGCCCAAGCAAAGCCCCCTCTGAGCGGCCAGGCCAGAGATGGAAATGCAGGAAACAGGTGGGGCCTCTGGAAGCCTTGCGTTCTTCCCATACAGATCTTGCTTGCTTACTTCTGCGCAGCAATGGTCTTTACCAAGAAGCGTGAGACATGCTGCCCAAACCCCCTTGGGAAAGCCTCCCTCCTGAGGTCCTTCCTGTCCCTCCCGGGCAGCCTGCACAGTGACAGTGATGGCCGAGCTAGGAGGGGGACAGAGGCCAAGCATTCCACCCGCTGTGGGCCCTCAGCCAGAAGCGCTCCCGAGGCTGAGGCATCACAGACCAGCTTCTCCTTCTGAACGGCCCTGCCTTTGCCCCTTTCTCTCTTACCCCAATTTCTATCTCAGCATTTGCTCCCGGAGAGCTCCACCTGGCACCTGTGCTGCCTCCAATCTTTCCCCGACACAAATGGTCCCAGGGCTTCACCCGATGGTGGGAGGGGTGAGGAGCCTCCCCGCACTCCAAGGAAGAGAAGAGGGGAGACAGGGTCTGGCCCCGAGGGACCATGCCTTGGTGACACGTGCCTCTGGCCCAGCGTTGACAAGTCTTCCTGCTTTCCGGGAGAAGTTGGAGACCTGGGCTTTGCATGTATAATCTCCCAATGCTTAAAGGTTGGGTCATTTCTACTCTAAATCCAGAGAGAGCCAAGCACAGTGTGGCTGCAGGTCAGGGCACCCGAGGCCGACAGGCACAGATGGAGGGGACAGATCCACCTGGCCAAGCAGCAAACTGCCTCTCACACCTTCAGCAGGCAGTCTCTGATGCCCATGTCGGAGTCCAGTGGATCCGTGCCAGGCTCTACCCAGAGGGAAATGTCACTGCAGGCAAGCTGGGTGACACCTGCTGTCCCAGAGAGGTGCCCAGCTTGATCCTGGGCTTGCATACTGACAGGCTCAAGATACCCTTCTGGTTCCCTCCCAGGTTGGCTCTCCCCAACCCCTGCCACCTTTGGCTGTGCCGGGTCACGCTCCCCAGCTTTCTACCCACCATGCAGATCTCAGTCGCCACGAGGTAGCACAGTCTGTTGAACCATTTCACGTAAGCCTCCAGATTGTTAGTCTTGTCACTGAAACAAGGCTAGGAAAGACAAAAGGACCACACTCAGTCTTTCTGTCAATAACTTTGGGAACATGAAGTCAGTTCATCGATCATTCTTATAGATCATCTGAAAAATGCTGAGACCTCAAAACCGTCCACAAATACCCATGATTTGATGTGTATCCTTCCAGTCTTTTTTCTATACATTCAAAGATGTCATTTAATATGATATATATGTAAGTACGTATGTATATACACACCCCCACACACAGTTGATTGTCATTATTTATAGATTCTATATTTGTGAATCTGTCTGCTTCCTCAAAATGCATTTGTAACCCCAAATCACTACTCATGTCTCTTTCACTGTCATTCATGGATCTGTGCAGAGTGGCAAAAAATCGGGAGTCACCCAAAGCGCCAGTATGTTCCCAGCTGAGGTTGAGCTAAGTGACAACGTGCCTTCTCGTTTCAGCTCCCATACTGTGTGAACAACTGTCTTTTTTTGTGATCTATTCAGTGTGATGGTGAGTCCCCTGCTTAGAGCGGCTCCAAGCACAGCGCTGTAGTTCCTAAGCACACAAGGGCTGTGAAGTGCCCTAAGGAGAAAATATGTGTTAGATAAGCTGCACCTAGACAGGAGTCATGTTTTTCCATATGAACCTTTTCATATGCCATAAAATATCCTTTGGAAATGTAATTTTTCAATTGAGGTAGAATATTCAACTGCATAAAATGCATGAGAGTTTAAAAGATTAAACTTAAGTTAACTTAAATATCCATGTTGAAATGGCCAGTATGACCTTCAGTAAGTAGAGGGGAAGATGGAATGAGGGATCTATTAATCCAAAAGAAGTAAAGTAAGGAGGAGAAAAGACAGGGAAGGTGTGGGAAGACAAGCAAAGGATGCACAGAATCCACGTAAGTTGGTAATTACAACTGCTATAATTTTAAAACTCCGGCTACTTGCTATTTTCAAGAGACACACCCCAAACCCAAAGATATACATGAAAAAATTGAAAAATATGTGATATTCATCATATAGCTATACTAATATTAGACAAAATAGATTTTTAAAAAAGATTTTATTTATTTATTTGACAGAGAAAGAGAACACGAGAGAGGGAACACAAGCAGGGGGAGTGGGAGAGGGAGAAGCAGGCTTCCCGCTGAGCAGGGAGCCCGATGCGGGACTCAATCCCAGGACCCTGGGATCATGACCTGAGCCGAAGGCAGACGCTTAACGACTAAGCCACCCTAACACCCTGACAAAATAGATGTTAAGGCAAAAAAAAAAAAAAAAGACTCTAAGGCAAAAAGCATCAGAGGAGATTCAAAGGGAACCACATAATGATAAAAGGTTTGATTAATCGTGAATATGTCACAAATTTAAACTCGCTTGTGCCTAACAACATAGCTTCAAAATACGAGGCAAAGAAAGTCAGAAAGGTAAACTCCTTTATAGGGAGAAATCAAATCTTACTGCCACAGTGGAAGATTTTAACATAAGGTCAGCAATTCATAGATTGTGGAGATTAAAAAAGCAGTATAAATATAAATCTGAGCAGCACAATTTACATAGTTGAATTAACAGACAAGTATGGAAGCCTGCCTGCACTCAATCATATGAGAATGTGTATTCTTTTCAAATAGTCAGAAATGTAAAAACACATTTTAAAATAATCTATGAGTCAAAGATGAAATCATCATGGAAATTATAATGAGAATACTGAAAAACAAAATTTTGAGGGTGCAAATAAAAAATATACTTAGAAAGAAATGAATAGTCTTTCATACTTTTATTAGGATGGAAGAAAGGATGAAAACAGGCTGAACATCCAACTTAAAAAATTAGAAAAAGAATAACAAAGAAAGAATCCAAAGAAAGCAGATGGAGGGAAATAATAAAGATTAGAGAAAAAAATGAAATAGTAAAGAAAGATGCAACATATAGAATCAACAAAGCCAGCTCTTTATTTAAAAAGACTAATAAAATTGATGAATGCTTAGCAAGATTGATGAAGAAACAGAGAAGTGAATACAAAGAATATTAGAGGTGAATATGAATATGAAAAAATTGAAAAGATAACTAGAGAGTATTGTGAATAACTTTGTGTCTATAAATGTGAAAACTTAAGAGGACTGAGTCAAATTTCTGGAAAAATATAAATTAAAAAGTACAGTAAAGAATAAATAGAAAGCCTAACTAGTCCTATAATTACCAAAACAAGGAAAATCTTGAATGGGCACATAAAAGTCTTCCCTAAAAGGAAATACCAGGCTCAGATGGTTTCACTGGCAAATTCTACCAATGGTCCAGGAACAGATAATTTGGTCATTCACACAGAACAGAGAACAGGGAGAGAGAAAACAAAGATGAGACAAGAACAGGGACAGAAAGGAAAATGACAAGTCAATTGCATGATTATAGTTACAGAAATCCTAAACAAAACAAGAGCAAACTGAGCCTAAGGATGTATGAAAAATATAAGGATCACGACCCAGTTTCATTTATCCCAGAAATGCAAGGTTGGCTTGACACTGAAAAAGAAAGAAACCGACGAATACAATAGTTCCCCCCTTATCTGTGGTTTGTTGTCCATGGTTTCAATTACCTGCCATCAACCATGGTCCAGAAGTAAGATGATCAGTAGTAGTCTAATGCTACATCACAGTGCCTATGTCCTTCACCTCACTTCATCTCATCCTGTAGGCATCTTATCATCACAGGGAGAAGGGTGAGTACAGTGTAATAAGATATTTTGAGAGAGAGAGGCCACATACACATAACTTTTATTAGAGTATATTGTTGTAATTGTTCTATTTGCTTATGAGTTATTGTTGTTAATCTCTTACCATGCCTGATTTATAAACTTTATCATAAGTACGTGTGTATAGGAAAAAATGTAGTATATACAGAGTTCAGTACCATCCATGGTTTCAGGCATCCACTGGGGGGTTTGGGAACATATACCCCACGGATAAGGAGGGGGACTACTGTACAAGTAATCACTTAACAGTTTAAAAGGGAAGAGAACATAAGGTTAATAGACCCAGAAAAAGTAGTCAATAAAATGCAACAACGATTTATGATAAGAACTCTCAGCAAAGTAGGACCAGGGGACTTCCTTGAGCTGATAATGGGCATCTAAAAAAAAAAAAAAAATCTCATAGCAAACATCATACTCTACTATGACATGTTAAAAGCATTGTTTACAATCAGGACAAAATAAGAATGCCTGCTAGCAACACTTCTATTTAACGTTTTGCCAGAGTGCTAGTTAGCACAATACGCAAGAAAAAGAAATTCTATTGGTCAGACTTAGCGGGGTTATTCTGCAATAACTAGTAATCCCAACATTTCAGAGAATTAAAAAACAGGACCCATCTGTCATTCATGTCCATCTCATATCAGTGGAGGATTCTTTGTATGACTACCCTAGAAATAAAAAGAATAAGGACTGGAGGGGCGCCTGAGTGGCTCAGTCGGTTAAGCATCTGCCTTCAGCCCAGGTCATGATCCCGGAGTCCTGGGATCGAGCCCTGCATCAGGCTCCCTGCTCAGTGGAGTCTGCTTCTCCTTCTGCCCCTCACCCTGCTTGTGCTCTCTCACTTTCTCTCTCTGTCTCTCTCAAATAAATAAAATCTTTAAAAAAAAGAATAAGGATTGGAAAGGAAGGAGCAAAACTGTCATTATTCCCAGATGATGTAACTGTTTATGTGAAAAACACCAAAGAACACAGAGACACTATTAGAATTAAGAAGAATGTACAGTATCGTCAGATACAAAGTTGATATGCAAAAGCTAAAGACATTCCTTAAACTACACAAGCAGTTCAGAAATAAGTACAATAGAAGATGCCATAAATAATAGCAAAAATATGCATTCTGCACCCCCCCAAAAAAACATAAATGGAAAGGTTAGTAAATTTGACTAGGTTAAAAATTTTTTTTTCCAACTAGGTTAAAATTAAAAACACCTTCTCATCCAAAGAATAATGAGAATGAAAAATCTAACTAAATCTGTAATATTTTTATGGAGATAGTTATAAAACATTAGAAAGGTATTATGAAGTAGATCTAAGTAAATGGCAGAACACACCATTTGTATGGGTTGGGGGACTCGGTATCATGAAGATGAAAATTCTTCCCAAATTGGTCCATATTTCATATATTCTAACAAAAATCCCAGTAGGGTTTTCACTGAATTTGGCAAGGGTTATAAGATTTCAAATAGAAAAATAAAGGGCCAAGAATGGCCAAACCACTCCTAAAGAACAGGAGGGTTTGTTTCACCAGATAGGGAGAAAAAAACCCAAGTATACAACCATAATAATGAAGACGATGTATATTGACGCAGAGATAGGAAAATTGACCAGTGGACAGAACAGACATCTACACGTGTAGATCAAACCTGGCATATGACAGTGACAGAACTGTCAGGGCGTATAGGCAGGCAAGACAATATATAAATAATGGTGCAGGAACGCTTGCTATTTGTGTGGAAAACCATGAACATGGATCTCCACCTCAAGCCATAGCCACAAAGTGAATTTCAAATCCAAGGCTTAAACGTGAAGGACAAAATATTAAAACTTCTCGAAGAAAACATCAGAGATTATCTTTATGACCTGGGTAGGGAGTAGGGAGGGATTTCTTACCTCCCCCACACCCCCCCAAAAAAAAACATAAAGGAAAAGGTTAATAAATTTGACTAGGTTAAAATATTTTTTTCCAACTAGGTTAAAATTAAAAACACCTTCTCATCCAAAGAATAATGAGAATGAAAAGCAAAAAAAAAGGAGAAAATTTGCAGTTCACCTGACAAAGGATAGTCATCTAGTACAAATGTTTTTTTAAAGCTTACCAAAAAACCTCTTTAAAATCCTTAAGAAAAAGCCAAACCACCAATAGGAAACTGGGTGACAGGAATTTCATAGAAGAGAAAATAGGAATGTCCAAGACACATGAGAAGATGCTCCCTTGAACAGTTTGACAAACATTTGGAAGTCTGACGATTTCAAGTGTCACTTAGGATG